TAACATAAAAATAATTCATCCAAAAATATAAATTGAACAGACTCAATATCTCCTCTAATAATAAAACTTTTGCATATGTCATAGTATTAAACAAGTTCTTAAATTTGATTATATATACACATATATGTATATATATTCCGTGCTCGATATATCCTTTTATTTATGACTTTTTAAATATATTTTTTTCACCGTCTTAAAAAAGGAGAAGATATATATATATCACTTCTATAGTTGAGGTTTTAGCTCTTTAGTTAGAAAAATAAATAAGTAAAATTGAAGAACTTGTTTTAAATGTCTCATACGATGATATATGCAAAAGTTTGGTTTACTACAGAGATATTGTTGAGTTTTATTATTTAAATGTTTCATATGATGATATATGCAAATGTCTGTATGCCTTTAAAAAACGGAAAGTTTGTTGATATCAATAATTTGATGAACTATTCTTCATTATTTATTTATTTCTATAATGCTATAGGCTTTCTATATCAACATTGGAGATTTTTTTTCTTTAATATTTATTTCCAATATTTTTTTAAAAAAGAAATTTAAGTGAGGGCATAATTTTTTATTATTAATATCATTATTATTATTATTGTTGTTGTTGTCGTTGTTGTTAAGCATTTATAATGTACCTAAGCATTTAAAATGTGAATATTTTTCAGTTAGTTAGCTTCATTGAGTACTAGTAACCGTCAACTAAGTAATAAAAAAAATAATAAAATTTACCAGTGCAATCAATCTATTTTGTCTATTATTATAAAGCATTAAAATATACCTAAAAAATATTAAATTTATAAAAATAATTGGGTTTCATATTATCAATTAATAGTCATACTAACCTCACAAAGTGCCTAAATTAATTCAACATTATTGATATGTTAACTACAATGCTATTAAAAAAAAAAAATCTAGAACAATTATTCTTTTTCTTCTTATTCATAATGTCCTAAATTCTTTGTTGTTGTTGGATTATAATTCAATGTTTATATGCATTTCTATCGCATGAACTAAATCAACAAATAAATTCATATATGACCCCTTTTTTCCAAAAAAAAAATAATAATAATAATAATAAAGAATTAATGCTAATGATGGAATTCAAAAACTAAGTATCAATGCATAGTTTGTAGTATATAACCACACATAAATTGGAAAACAAGTCGGTATGATTAAACAATCAAAATTAAAAATAAAGTTTATGTGAAGTGATTTTTATTTTAATTTTAATTTTTTTTTCCTTTATGCATTCACACAAGCCCTAGTTTTTCATTGCCACTCTACCTACAGTACTAGAAGACAACATTTATATTAGGTTGTTAGTAGGTGATTATTTTATTTTTCTTTTTTATTATTATTAATTAAATGCAAATATTCTCTATTTTTAAAAAAAAATGAAGAAATGATGTAATAATTATGCAGTGACGACTCTTTCGATGGTTTATATAAGGAGTGCACTGGAAGCACAACTTTGTACATATTCTAACAAGCTACAAGAGTAGTGTTTCAATGGCCTTCTCCAATCAAATCTTCTGCAGGTCTTCTCTTTTAATTATCTCGTTTCATTTGTTCTATGTTCATTCATCTCATTTGGATAATTGAAATCCAAATGATAATTGTAAATTTTTTTATATATCGGTTTAAATTGTCAAGTATCTACATTTGACAATACATTTTTTTATGTTTAATGGTTTTTTTTTTTTACGACATTCGGGGATGTGTTTTCTTGACAACCTGCAAGAAGGGAAAGATGACTCAATTCTAATTTTTGAGAGTTTAGCTTTTAGTCGAAAAAGAAAATTAATGAAGAATGAAGTTGCTTTTCATGTGGTTATATTTGCAAAATTTTGATTTTTTTTTTTTTTTGAGATTTCGATGTATTCTATGAGTTTTGTTTGTATTCTAGTGAAAGGAAAGTTTGTTGGCTTTGGAGAAGAGTTCGATGAATCAACTTTCACTTGTAATTATTTTACAATAATTTTTCAAAAATTATCATTAGATCGAATACTTTCAAACTTTGTAAATTTTTTTTATATTATACTATTCAATTTAAATATGAAAATGTATATAATTTATTTTTTTGCAATAAATCATATATATTAACTTCTTTATCTTCTTCTTCCTCTTTCCAGGTCATTTACCAACGCCTCATCCAAGCCGATGGATCTTTCCACAACAAATAAGATCCACGGTTTAGATTTAGCCCTAACTCTCACCGATAAGCATATGGATGTTGAACCCCAAATCATTTTTAACATTCCGAACCTCACTGAAACCCTAATTTTTGAAGCTACAACAGAAGTTCCACAAAATCATACCCACCAAAGAGACATATCCCCATCATCCGACCGAAATCAAACCCCGGAGAAGCTCGATTGTGTTTTCTACTCTCATTTCAGCTCCAAAATCATACCTCATTCATTCAATCCCATTTTCCAAGAACATCTTCCCATGACCAAATGCCTCACTCATGGAACCTCCGGCTTCCTCCCTTATGAATACGTTAAACTTCTTCCAGAGTACTCTCGAATTACCTATCACCATCCGAACTTTAAGGTAGTTCACGCCATTGATCAATGCATCATGGAATTCCCTATGATGTTCAAAAACCACATGAGCAACTCCTCTCAACATTCTCACGACGACTATCTAAGTTATGTTTGGTTGTCGGGTTTCTACAATGCAATGGATTTTAATTTGCATTGAAGGGTTTTCTTTGGTTTCATTTTCCTATGTTAGGTGGTTTCCTCTTGTTTGAATTTTTTTTTTCTATCGGTATGTGTTTTGGACAGATTTGTGGTTGTTTTGAGCTTTGGAATTTTATCATCTTCTTTTTCTACATTTCCTTTTATTTAATTTTTTCCGTTTTTATTAGAGCTGTGGCCGAGTTAGATAAATGGATCACGAGTTGCTGGTCAATAGCTTAAACAAAATGAACTCTTTTTATGAATTGAAAAATTATAAACGTTTTGTTAGATAATCAGAATGATCGTCTCACCTAAAAATTTAATTGTTAGACATGTGCATCATTAATATATTTACATATGAGAGTCAATTAACACGCCCCTCGGATGCAAGGAGATGTATGCAAGACTTGCTCATGGAGACTATTCCAATCATCTAACAGTTTTAATATCAATTAAAAAATTTCTTAACTCGGTTTTATAGATAAATTATATATAAACACCTACCAAAATATGTAATATATGTGAATTATTCAAAACTGTTAGACAAAATTTTATTTAAAGTTTAAAATATATACTACAAGATATATATATATATGAATGCATCACATTTATTAAGATATATATATATTCAGTTTGTTAAATATTTCAAGAATTATTATCAAATTCAGTTTGATACTATCTCAAATATCAATATTACCTAAAAATTTAGATTTAAACAGATACTGATGATTAATTATTATATAGTCGACCAACAATACTAAAATAGAATAACTTAACTATTTTTAAAAAAATATGTGCATATAGTAAGTATTTATAGAGTTCAATTCTTAAGAATTTAGAAAATTCATTTAAATTATTTCCTCATACTTGGTTAAATTTAGAGTTAACCCTAATATAAATTTTATCGATGAGCATTTAGATGTTGAACCCCAAGTAAACATTAATTTTGACGTCCCGTACCTTATAAAAAGCCTAGTCAATTAACAACTCGATCCAGATTCCAGAGTAGATATCTAACTAATGAATGTTCCGTTGTCATCTTCTTCTTCGTCATTGTTTGAACAGTTTGGACTTTGTTAGGTTTCAATGCACTTACTGCAACGGGGTCTTCTTTTATTTCCTGTTGGTTTCATTTTGCTGATGTCCTTTTGTTTTACATGTTTTCGGAGGCTGTTACGATATGATCAATACATTAGATATACATTTATACTACACATATAAAATAGAACTGACATTATATATTAGTACTTTATACAACATGTATTGTTTGTTATATTTTTCAAATGATATTTATAGTGTTTTTATATGTTAATTAGAGTAATTAACATGATGCTGATAAATCTTCAATCAACATTTTAATTTAATAAGCGATTTTAGAAAGAGTGTTACAATGTGTTGTAATTGGTGGCTACTACCAAAATTGGGAATGGACAAAGATTTCGTATTAATGCATTCCTAAAAATTAGGTAAAGGAAAAAAAAATGTTATTTTCTATGTCGATAAAATAAAAATTTTAGTTGAGGAATATAAATAGAAAATTAAATTTTTTATTTACATATTTTATTTGTTTCAATCACAATGTTTTGCAAAAATAGTTTGTTTAAATAAAATATATAGTAAAAATCCACATATTAATAATCGAAATTATATTGGATCTAAAAAAGCATGCATACCGGAAATACTTTTCTCAGTTTTTATTTTTTTCTCTGCATACAAGATTAAAAAAAATAATAATAAATTATTTGTTTTCTAAATTTAAATTCTTTGATTCAAACAACTAAGAAAAAAAATATATTCCAAATGTATCGAATGCATCCTAAGATTCATGTTTTATTTTCACTTTTAATTTTTATATTATATTGGATCTTTTGAGGTTCCTACAAAAGAAGTACAAAAAAAACAAAATGTAATCTTCTCTAGTTATTTAAGTGAAAATTTAAATATAATATTAATTTATTTACTAAATATTTTTCTAGTTTATAAAATAAGTACTCCCTAAATAGTCTCTTTCTCTTTTATAATTTGTGTCGGCATCCAATTATTAATGTTTCTGTCTATTTTATTTATATTTAGCAAAATATAATATGGATTACTTTTTAGACTTCTTTTATACAAATTCAATGGCTAATATAAATTTTTTTCTTTTATTTTGAATTTGATGTTGATTAGATCAAATCAATTTGTATACTATACATATAATAAATCAAATAAGCAACACAAAAATAATATCACCTAATAATATAATATTCAGTATATATGTTACATACTTCTATATTGTACTACATAAACATTTTAGATAGGAACCAATAATAATTATGAACAAAGGGGATATTTTATATATTTGGAACATTTAAAACTAAACAATATCAATATATATATATATATGCTACATGAGAACATAATTTACAACCAAAACTCCCTACAAATATATTTGGCCATTCGATTTTGGCGGTTATTTTATTTTTTAAAAAAATTATTTATTTATGGTCGAGTCTTCTTCCACGACGACGATATATCAACAACGGCCTCTCCAACGGTCAAATAAATTCCTTCCAATCCGAATTCCGGCAACACGCCCGACTCATGGAGCTTCTCCATTACGCTCCCCACAGGATTCGCTAACACGAGCTACATATCAAGTACATATAAGCATCATTAATTAAACATGTCACTTCACGTGTAAAGTCAATTTAAATTTTATACGAATCTTGCACATGAACAATAAGCCAACAAAGGAGGTGGTACTCAAATACTAGTCGCCCTCTTTGATAAGTATTATTAGTTACCTCTCTCATCATTCAAAATATCATTTTTTTTCTATTTTTTTTTTTACTCAAAAAAATAAAATTTTCTAGTTTTACCTTTTTTTTTTTTTTTTTTAATTTGTACCTGGTCAACTGAGTACAGAATTGGATGAATGATGAGTATTATATAGTCAAGTAACATATTTCGTTCTTTACCTTGAGTGATCGCTTCTCGAGCGCCTTTCTAAGTTCGTTGATGGTGTCGATCCCACTCGTGTCTATCGCCGTGACTGCGGTCATGTCGAGGATCACGCATTTGATGTCGTCGCTATTGTTCGACGCAGCCAACTCTTCCTCTTCTCGGATCCACCGAGCGATCCTGCGGTTCGCGTGGTGTTTGTGAATGCACCAAAAATTAAGTGAAATCGCAGAATCTATAGATGGATTGCGAAACTATACCTTTCTTGAAGATAATTAGCATTCGCAAAATAAATAGGCGCCTCGACAGCGATGATGAGAAACGACGGGACCCTAATGGCTTCCTTATACCGGTCGAGGTTTTGATATATTCCCGTCCCGGGGATGTTACCAAGAACGAACGTATTAGGCCGCGTGACGTGCAACAGAATTTTGAAAACAGAGATTCCAATGGCTATGGTGAGGCCGAGTGGGACGGAGATGAAAAGAACGCCAAGGAAGGAGCAGAGGCAGGCCACGAAATCGAGCTTGTCGACTTTCCAGAGCTTATAAGCTCCCCCGTAATCGATCAGCCCAACGACGGCTGTTATGATGATTGCAGCCAAGATGAGGTTCGGCGTGTAGTAGAAAAGTGGCATCAGAAACAGCAGCGTCACGAGCACGGTCGCAGCCATTACTATGTTAGACACAACTGTTTGCGCGCCGGCGTTGTAATTCACAGCTGACCGCGAGAACGATCCTGAAAAGGAAAGCGAAGTCAGCGAATTTGCGACGATTTTTTTTTTTTTTGGCGAGCGTCGAGCTCACCGGTGGTGACGTAGCAGGAGGAGCAAGAGCCGGCCATGTTCATTAGCCCGATCGCCATCATCTCTTTGTTGCCGTCGACTTGGTAGTTTTTCAGAGCTGCAAATGTCCTCCCGACGGCGATCCCTTCCTACAGATTTGTTGCAACATGGGGTTGAGTTATGTCATCAGGACATAAATGCAATGCAGAAAACATCGATAGAATGCGACTTACTGTAAGAGAAAGTATCCCGGTGATAATGCCGGTTTTGATGGTGAGGCCGAGATACGGACCATTGAAGTGTAGCATGTTCGCCGACGGCGGATTCAGTCCCTTAGCCAAGTGTCCGATCTGAAAATAGCGTTGTTGTTTAATTAGGCATCTCCGCGATGCATTTGATGCAAAATTCTTACACGATCGTCGGGTAAATTCTTACGGTTTGTATCCCCGGCGCGACGGATTTAAGGCAAACGACCAAAATTGTGGACATAACAACCGATGCTAATGGCGCAGCCGCAGCTATCCAGAAGAGCTTCGGTCTTCTCATGCTCTGCGCAATCATTCATCGATGAGATTTCCGGAGAATCCTTAACGGATAAGAAGCAACAGATTTACAAAAATCGCTTACAATTTGCCTCGTCCCCAATAGAAGGATCAAGAACAAAACTCCGATGACGATGGTCTGCCAAGACCACTGCAGAGATAAAACAACCTCTGTGAGTCGAATGATGTTCGTTCTTATTACAGAGGATTTCGGCTAAAAATATTACCTCGTCGATGTGATGGAAAACCGAAGACAAAACGGGAACAAGCTGCATCTTGTTGGTGAAATGAGAAATCCCGAGAAGGCCTTTCAGCTGCTGCAACGCGACAATCACAGCGGCGCCAGCCATGAACCCGACCAGCGTCGCCTTCGACAGGAAATCGATGATGAATCCTAATCTATGCCAGAAGAAAAAACAAAACTTATTCCATTTTCGAGCAAACGACAGAATCATCAGTTAACTTCGTAACTTGCTTGCTTTTACTACAGCGAAAGATGCCGCAGAGAAAAAGCTGTTTGAATGACAAATTTCACCTAAAAAGTTCGATAGAATCGAAAAATGCAACATTAATTAGTGTACCTAAGAAATCCAAGAGATGCCTGAAACAATCCGGCGAAGAAAGTCGAAGTGAAGGCGAGTTTTAGGTAAAGAACCGGCTGGTGTGCGGCGGAGACAGCCTCGCCGAGCATCGTGCCCATCACGAGCGACGCGATGGAGACAGGGCCAACGGCGAGATGGCGAGAGCTCCCGAGCACCGCGTAAATCAGCGGCGGAACAAAGCTCGAGTCTACAACAAAACATAAAATGCATCGAACACTAATTTTATTCATCTAATCTAAGTGAACAAAATTGAAGATGTTCTTAGCTCTTACAAAGTCCGATTATCGGCGGCAGAGTCGCAAGCTTCGCATAACTTATCCCCTGCATAAGAACGAAAGGAAATGAATCTCTCTCCAAACTCCGACATTATTAAATAAGAAACAAACAGACCTGCGGAATTGCGAGGCTGGCTATGGTGAGGCCCGAAACGACGTCGGATTTGAGGAGTCGGAGGCTGTAATTTGGAGCCCAATCGAAAATTGGGAAGAAGCACTGCAGGGCAACGATCATTTTTTTCAGCCATGGCTGATTCTTGAAGCGGTGGAACGGGTCGTCGGGGAAGAAGATCTCAGAGAGGCGGCGCCGGAGTTTCTCCGCCGTCGTGCACGGCGGCGGCAAGGCGACTCTGTGCACCTCCGGACAAGGCATTTCGATTGCGATTTGCAACGCCGATTCTTCCGTCGTCGGAAATTGGTCGACTCTGTTTGGATTCATTTTTTTTTTTTTTTAAGAAGTGAAATTACAGTGATTTTAGAATATCATCGGTGGATTTATATATATATATATATATATGTATGTGTATGTATGCATGTATATCGTCAGCCATGGAAGAATGTGGAAGGGCTACGCTTTTTGCCGGGAAACTGTTGGAGTGTTGGAATAACGGAACGCGACGTTTTGCCCAATTGACGTTTACACTGTATATATATATTTTTTATTTTTTTGAATTATAATTTTAATTAACTAGGGCTTCAATGTAAGAATATCTGAACTTATTCAACCCTAAATTTCTGTAAATCTGGTTTAGAGATTTTGATTTTGATTTTTTTATTTTTTTTATTTTTTAATTGAATTGATATGAACCCAAAATAAAAGTAGAAAAAATTGGGTCAAATTGAATTTTGGATTGACACAATATTTAGTAGCCTCATTTTAAGGTTGGAATTTAGATTTGAAGTTTGTGAGTAAATAAACAAAATTAATTGAAATGGTAATTAAATTGATATTACTAATATGATTAATGTTTCCAAAAAAAAAAAAAATTGTAGTGTATTAATTAAATATAAGTTCCTGAATTGATTGGTTTTTATGCTACTTCAATTTTATTCGAGATTTTATCAAAACAAAATTAGATTGATTTAAACATGGCCCTAAAATAATTCATTTTATGTTCGAGTTTAAATTTTTAAAATAAAAATAAAATCCAGTTTGTATTTGAATATATATATTTTATACTCAATTCTACATAAACACAGACACGATATAAAATACGGGTGTTGATGTAATTTTTCAACAAAAATAAAGTAAAATTCAAAGATATAGAAAATATCCTTAAACTTGATTAATTAGTGCCTGAGATTAGGAATCTCTAAACACTGTATGGTACAGAAAATAAACTGGAAAATAAAATACTGAAATTTAAAGTGGTGATCCCCAAATCTGACTTTGCTTTGTTGAAGTTGATTGAAGATTCCTTGCCAAATGATGATCCAAATCCTTAAATATTCTTTGAAGAAAACCGTACTGAAAAACCGTCACCCGAACGGTTACAACGTCTCCTTCTCAACCGTCTTCCAACCTTTCTCATGCTGACACGTGTCCCCAGCAGACCAAAATTCCCTATACTTCACTCCTTGAGCCGACCACAGACCTTCCGCTCTTTTGGCCCGACTTCTTCCTTCGTCCGACCTACTTCTTCGCCCGACCCCACTTGGGCCGACCTCCATATCAACCGCCCCCTGTCTTTGATCAAAAACCTCCGCGTTTGTCTGACTCCACCTTCTATCCGACCTACAGTTTACCCGACCTGCAGATATCCCATCTCGACGACTTTCCGTCTTGAGGACCTCCCGACTTGAAAACCTTCCGACCTGAGGTCTTTCCATCTTGAGGGCCTCCCGACCTGAAGACCTCCCGACTTGAAAACCTTCCGACCCATCGTCTTTCCGTCTCGCGGACTTCCCGACCTGAGGACCTACCGACCTGGGGTCCTCCCGTCCTGAGGACCTACCGACCTGAGAACCTTCCATCCTGAGGTCTTTCCGCCCTGAGGACCTACCGACCCGAAGACCATCCGACTTGAAGTCTTTCCGTCTTGAGGACCTACCGACCTGAGAACCTTCCGTCCTGGGGTCTTTCCGCCCTGAGGACCTACCGACCTGAGAACCTTCCGTCCTGAGGTTTTCCTTAGAAATAAATAAATTTATTCCTTGATTTTCTCACGGTGTCCTTCAGCCAGTTCACTCAACCCTATTGCCAGGCCCATTCTTCTTTTTACCTTGGGCTTTTAACCTAATTCTAAATTTCGTACGTAACAACTTGCCCGCCGCCAAGGGACTTTCAAACACCATTTAACAATCAATGTTTGGAAGTTCATAAAGCACTACCTTCTTGAAAAACTCCCTTAGCAACTATACCAGTTACGGCAATACTCCTGGTTAACTTCCTTCTTCGCGATACAAGCCTGTGTGAATCACAATCTTAAAACATTCTAACTATGGCGAATCAATACATTCCTGATCTCCATCATCACATGGAAATGATTGAAAATCATGCAGCAGCCATACTTCCAGACCTTGGTTGGGATAACATATTTTCCAATCAACGAAAAGTCTTTTCAAGATTGCGTACCATTGTTGACCGTGAACATCAAGCCCTAACAGACATGCAAGCACGTACCCATCAAGATCTAGATGACATGCAAAGCCAATGGGAAAGGTACCGACCAGACTTGGAAGATCTTATTGAAGAAGAACCAGAGCTAATATCTACTCACTGGGATGAAAAGTCTGATTCAGAGGCAGAAAATTTCTCACAACTACACGATGACTAACAGAAATGAACCTTCCAGTAGGTTCGAACCCCATAACTGGGTTCTGAATAATATTTTGTTTCAGGCAGTTTTGTTATCTGAAAAGGCAGGATAATACCTCTTCAGATATTTAGCATTAATACAATCATGTACTCTTCTACCTTCATGATTTACAATAATGAACGCGCCATTTCCAATATCTTTTTGAACAATGTATGGTCCTTCCCAATTCGGCGACCACTTCCCCAATTGATCAGTTTTCTTATACGTAGGAAGAATGGTCTTCCAGACCAAGTCTCCTTTCTGGAACGTCCTATGGAGAACTTTCTTTCCGTAACTCCTTGCTCTGATTTCACTCTGTTTCACATTTCGCCTTATTGCATGGAGTCGGTTAACATCCAAATCTTCTAACTGTTGCATCATAAGTTGTTGGTATTCCTCTGTAAGACCACCATCAGTAAATTCTGTTCGGCCAGATGATACTCGGATTTCGGCTGGTAAAACAGCATCTTGGCCAAATGTAAGTTGGTAAGGTGAGAACCCTGTGGCCGTACTTCTGGTATTCCTATGTGCCGATAAAGCCTGAGACAATAACAAATGCCACTTTCTCGGGTTCCCTTCAACCATCTTCTTTATAATCCCAATAATAATCTTATTTGCTGCTTCCGCTTGTCCATTGGCTTGGGGATAATAAGGTGAAGAATGATGTAGTCGGACACCAAACTCTGTTAAAAAACTAGAAAACTTTTCCCCAGTGAAAACCAAGCCTTGGTCGGTTGTTATAGATTGAGGAATACCATATCTATAAATAATTTGATTCAAAACGAAGTCTATCACTTCTTTCTGATCCACATTTTTCAAAGCAACAGCTTCTACCCATTTGGTAAAATAGTCAGTCGCAACCAATATGAAACAATGATGTTTCGATGAGGCAGGATGTATCTTACCAATAATATCCATAGCCCATGATTTAAAAGGCCATGGTTTTACCAAGAATTGCAATTCGGTTACTGGCAGATGGTTTAAATGTCCATGTCTTTGACATTCCTGGCAGCCTTTTGCAAATTGTATGCAATCCTCAAAAATCTTAGGCCAGAAAAAACCCAAACGATGAATGGCCCATCTCATATTCAGACCTGCCCGATGAGCTCCACATATGCCACCATGTACTTCTGTCATCACTTCTAGAGCTTCTTTAGACCCCAAACATTTCAAAAGTAGACCTTCAAATGATCTCTTATACAAAATTCCATTTATCAATTGAAAACGTAAAGCTTTCAATCGCGTCGCAACTGAAACATTTGCACCAGGATTCTGTAAATACGTGATAAGCTCTGTTCTCCAATCGGGCACTGTTTCACTGGTACCTTTGTGTCCGACTGTAACTAAGCTGTCGGGCTCCTGCCCGATAGTAACTACGCAGTCGGGCTCCTGTCCATCAGTCTCCTGCCCGACCATAACCTCGCAATCGGTCTCATGTGCGACTATCTCCTGCCCGACCGTAACTTCGCAGTCGGGCTTAGGTCCGACAGTCTCCTGCCCGACCATGACTTCGCGTATTGGGTCTGTCTTTTCTTCTATGCCCGACTTGACCTCCGACCACATATCCCCTGGAATTCCTTTACAGGCCCTTTGAGCCAACTCATCAGCACGTTGGTTTTCTTTCCTTGGAATGAACTCAATTATTACTTCTGAGATTTTTGTCAGTAACTGACCCACAATGTCCCTGTATTTGCGAAGATGAGGGTAATTGCAAACATATTGATTGTTTACCTGGTTGACTACCAATTGAGAATCCCCTCTTATAATTACAGACTGGACCTTCCTGGCAATTAAAGCCTCCAAACCCAGAATTAAAGCTTCGTACTCTGCCGAATTATGGGTCATGGCTTCCAATCTTAGTTGTAAGTTAATCTTTTGTCCGTCGGGTCCTTGCAAAAAGACCCCTGCCCCTGATTTGTTTCCAGAGGTAGAACCATCAAAGAACATCAACCATGTTCGGGTACTTATATAGGGCACACATCCGACCTGTAGGGTGTTCCAACATGATGAACAACCGAATGGTCGGACGCTATCATTATGAGAACACCCGATTTGGGAAAATTCTGCTAAGAAGTCGGCTACTGCTTGTCCCTTGACTGCCCTCAACGGGGAATGTTGAAGATCAAAAGGAGCCAATTTAATGGCCCACTTCATGAGTCTGCCCTTCATAGTAGGTCTCTGTAAAATCAATTTGATGAGATCCACCTTTGATATAACCTCAACTCTTCTGGGCAGCAAGTAATGCTCAAGTTTAGTACAAGCAAAGACCAATGAATAACACATCTTTTCTGGCATAGTGTAATTCAGTTCTGGTCCTGTAAGGGTTTTACTGAGATAGTAGATTGCCCTTTCCTTCCCATCATCACCATCCTGTGCCAATAAACAGCTGACCACTTCATATGTATTTGCTAAATAAAGTTTGAGCGACCGACCTTGTTTAGGAGGCATCAAGACTGGAGGATGAACCAATGCCTGCTTGATAGCATCTAAAGCCGTCTGTTGATCGGGACCCCATTCAAAAGCATCTCTTCCAGCTTTCAACAATTTAGTAATGGGTCTGACCTTGCCAGCAGCATTAGAAATAAAACGCCTCAAATAATTTACCTTACCCAGAAGACTTTGGATTTCTTTAACCGTCTTGGGTGGCCGACTGTCAAGAATAGCTTTAGCCTTATTGGCATCAATTTCGATTCCTCTCTCATGAACTAAGAATCCTAAAAAGCTCCCTGCTGA